ATATAGACGTTGCGCTCTGAAGATATAAAATTGTAAAAACAAGCCCATCTCTTCATTTTATGGCATGTCTCTTCTTGCTTAAAAAGTATATTTTAGTCAAATATATATTCAACCTTCTTCGAGAAACAACACAGTGACAATTATTCATATCACAACTGAGTTACAAAAATCGCTCCGAGACAAACTTAGGCAAATTAAAAATATCAGTCTATTAACAGAATGCTTTTAAACCTGTCATCTATTTAACATTAATTTCAAAATACTAAACGTGTATGACCGGCTTTTTTTTATTTTTATTTTTAATTTTTAAACGAGGATGCTAATCCCGAAATATCCTGTCGAAAAATCTGTCCACTTTGACCAGGGCGGTATTATCCCATGATAATGACAAAAACAAACACGTAACCAGGCGAGGGAACCCCCCGCTGCGCAAACGCATATCCTCAGAAAGCTATTAATCTTCTCAATGTAGTTGTTCACCCTGAAAACTGAGATAAAGAGCCACAGGAAATGTTTACTTTTCTTCAGCTGTTCTTTCTGAAGAGGCTTTAAGCTACAATTAACAATAAAGGATTTAAAGAAAGTACCGTTTAAAATTGATTGGTTTTTTTTTTTTACTTTAACATAAAAAAAACCATTTTTATACATAAATATTAAAATTGACGACATTTTTTTTCACTTATCTTAAATAAACCCTCTAAGTTTTCAGAATAGCAATAGAATAACCAGGGATGCATGCTGCTCACACAACATGCACAAAAGTTTCTGTAATGTCAGTTTCAGCAGGACAGTGAAAGTATTAGGATACCTTTTGAAATTATGTTCGAGGTCAAATAAATAAAGTACAAAATTTTAAGAGGAAAACTTATCAGAACTCTGAATTGTATGTTAGAGATTAAAGGAGAAAAAGGAGGAGTTATTTACCTTCTTTACTGCTGTTTTGGCTTTTATTTTTTTCCCAGGGTCCCATGGCCTTGTCATCCTCTGACCCATCCATCATGGTCTTGTCACTGGGCACGTACCAGGTGGCGTGCTGCTCTGCCATGAGGGTGTCAAGGTCAATAGTGCCCATTGAGCCCTTCCCTGCATCCGGGCTGCAGCCTGGCAGCTCATTGTCTCCATTCTGCGAGGGACAGTCACTGCTCTTTTTGCCGTTCTTCATGGCCAGGGGCTGGTCTTCTGAGATACTGAACTGTTGCCGCTGCAGCTGAATCTGGGCCTGGAGGATCTCCAGCGGGTGGATTTCTTCCTGGCCCGAGGTGCTGGACGGGGTGCGTACCTGCTCCACCCCAGGAGTGCCCGGGTGGCTCACCCCGCTGGCCCCTGTGCTCACACCAGAGTTCAGTCCATAGCTGTCTGGTGCTGAGGTAGTATGATTGTTTATGCCCATGCCAAGGGGCTTTTGTCCATTTAATAAACTGTTATCACTCCGCTGCATTTTGGGTGAGCCTGTGATCATAGGGCTGCGATTGGGCTTGGTGGCAGAAGCCCCTCCTGCATCTGAGCTGGATGACACCTCGTCCTCGTTGCCATAGTGGGTGCTGACATCGTCAGGGAAGTCCACTCGTGGTGAGCTGCTGTCAGACTTGGCAGCAACACTTTGAATGCCACTGTCTAAAGAAGACATAAGGTCAGCCTGGTCCCCCAACATTAGGTCACCTCCTTTCCCCCAAGAGGGTGACTGAAGGTGTTTTTCATGAGGTGTGCCCCCACCCCTCTCCCCAACGCCAGCCGAGGGGGTCTGCTGGCCTGGACTTACAACAGGGTTACCGTTATCAGAGGAAAAAAAAATTCCAGGGCTCACATGTCCACTGTCTCTTTTTCTCCTCCCTCTCCCTCTCCCACTCCCTGTTGTTGCCTTCCCCTCACTGCACGGGGTAGCGTCCATGTTGTAGTTTGGGGAGAGGGCACTGGCTTCCCCCTGCACCGTCTGGCTTTGACTTACAGGCTTAGAGTTGCTATTCCCGGTGCCAGGCATCTGGCTGTTCTGGGAAGCGCTGCTCTGAAAATATTCAGGACCAGCACTTCCAGTCCCATTAGATGTGCTGCTATTAATGTCCTGCTCTGTCTGACTTAGTTTTCTCTTGCCCTCATTTTGGTTTTTCTTGTTGAATGTTACGTTAAGATTGGGGGCCCCTAGGCTGGCGATCATGTTCTGGCAGGCCGTGGACAGGGCCGCTAAACAGCTCTGACCGAAAACACTGTCTTTAGAGCTGGTTTTGCTGAAGTTCCCAAGGGACAGAGCTCCCAGCTTACTAACAGACGACCGCTGGCCTGAGGGGAACTCAGACTGTGGAGGGTAGCTCCCTGGTGAGGTGCTCACCCCCTGGGGAGCACTGTGAGGCGGCCCCTGGCGGTTAGCCCCCCCATAGGGAAAAGTTGGCTGTGCTCCCATTGGAGGTGCAGGAAAATCAGCTGGTCGCCTTTCTGCTGGTGCATTTGGATGTCCTCCTCCAGCTCCTGGCGACTGCATTTGTGAGAGGTTACCCATGTTTCCACTAAACTGTGAGTGCATGCCTGGAGAATGAAGGGTCTGAACATGTCCGTCTCCTGCTATTCTCATTGGCTCCTGCATTCCAATGCCTGGCCTGAACATCATCCCAGCCCCGTTCTGTTGCAGCCCCATCTCATTAGGCCCGGACTCATTGCCAGCCCCACCCATGCGCCGTGACATGATCTCTCCAGGTGGGTGGGACCCCTGAAACCAGGAGTTCTCCTGAGTTACATGAGGATTTTGTCCATCAATGCTGGGCATTCTGCCACTGTTCTCCCTGTCAAAGTTGGGCTGAGGCATGTTCCCAACTGGACCTCCATGAGTCATTGGGACAGGAGGTACGTCGCCATGGTGACCTAGCTGCTGAAGACTCGGCTGCCTCATCCTCTGCTGCTGGTTGCGAGAGGCCATCTGTTTTATCATCATGGCGGCGTTTTGGCGCTGCTGCAGAGACTGCGGCTCGGGCCCCGGATGTTGTAAGGGACCTGGTGCAAAACCTTCATTGACAGGTGGGGTGAACTCCCCAGGAAGGCCGGGATATGCTGAGGGAGAGAGGTGGTTATCCATACTACTGCACCAACCGTCGCCACCATGTGAATTAGGAAAATCAAATCTGGGCCTTTTCGCCATGTTCATATAAGGAGAGTCAAAGTGTTGCAGCCTCTGATTTGGGGGCTGCTGGGAGGGAGGAGGAGCTGGCTGTTGCATATTAAACATGGGGTCCCCATAGGGGTGCAAACCTCTATTTTCCAGTCTGTGAATGGGATATTCAAACTGGTTATGTTGGCCAGGCATCATGACCCCTCCGTCCAGAATGTTGGAGTTAGTGTTGCCGGGCTCAGCCTGAGGGGGTCGGGGGAGGCCAGGGGGGCACGAGTTCTGTCTGGCTATTAAGCCAGTCTGTTGTTGCGGCTGCATGAGGGGATGTCTCGCATTGACCCCCGGCTCCATTCCCACGGGCATCTTCCGGCCATTTCCAAATCGCTCAAAAAACACTCCATGCTGAGGTTGTTGGGGCTGTGGTGGCGGCTGGTGTCCCTTAGAAATGCCCTGCATGCCTGGTGTCCGAGGCATGCCAGAGCTCCCTGGAAAATTTCCACTGGGAACGGGCCGGCCTGGCCCAAAATGTGGTAGCTGAGATTCTGTCTCTGATGGGGAAAACACAGGTACATCAAAATGTCCAGATGGCGGATCGCTTGGAAAGTTGTACTCTAGCCCCTCCACGGCTCCTTGGTTGGGCATCCGTCGAGGCTCCATCGTGTGAGGCTCAGATGACGTAGATGAAGAAGACGGAAGACCGTGGAAAGATGCTGCTCTGTTAGGCGACTGGTCCAGGGGAAGACAGGGAGCAGGGACGGGGTGATTGCCGCTGGGGGGACCATGATGTTGAAATTCAGGTATGTTAGCAGGCCTCTGCTGCTGTGGCTGCTGCTGTGGAAAGCCTTCTCCTGCCGGTCCCTCAGCAAGAGGGTCAAAACCCTCTCCAAAACCCTGCTGTGGTCCCATGCCATTGCTGTTGTAGCCCATCAGCCTCCCTCCATGTAGGCATGACGACCCTGGATCTGGGCCTCCAAAGTTCCCACCGAAATGAGGGTGATGTTGGTGGGGGTGAGGTTGATGGGCATGCGGGTGTCCTTGATGAGGTTGCTGGTTGTTAAAAAATCCATGCATGGGTCCTTGCTGCTGCTGCTGCTGGAGTCCGCCCCCTGTATGCATGTCTGGGTGTCCCCGAGGGTGAAACCCAGCGTAAGGCTCACCGTTCATGTTCATATTGAGCCCCAGCATTTGGGACTCGTTCATGGGGCCCATGGCGGACTCCACGGCTCCAGGTGGGCCTCCAGCATGAAAGCCTGGGCTTTTATAATGTGAGCCCATGTTCAGTCTCTGTTGGTTTATGTTTCTCTCTGACTGGCCAGGGTTTCTGCTATTAATTTGAGAACCAAACTGCTCCAGCCCAAACATACTCCCCAGCAATCAATCCCACATGACGGCCAGTTTGCCAGACATCGGCACACTCTGTATTTTTCCGTCTGTCCCCAAAAGCAAAAAGGGGGGGAAAAAATGATACACAATGTTGATGAAACTAATGATTAATATGTTTAGTAGACTTTAAACGATAAAACTCACCAAATAAGTTCTCATTTCTGGGAATCAAAAGGGAGTTTGTTTTTTTTGTTTTTTTGTTTTTACTTCTCCAAGGACGCGGAGTGGAGCGGGGACAGACGGTGCCAAATACGCACGGAAACTGCTTGTCTGTTCCCGCATTAATAGGTGAAACTGTCTGCTCTTCCTTTTAGTTTTAGTCTTTCTTGATAGAAAAAAATAAAATAAAATAAAACTTGCACAAAAGCGGCGACTTTTACAAGTTATTGTTCTTTGTGCCCAATTTTCTTTGGATGAAAAAAAAACCGCTCCGGGGGAAAATGAAAAGAGCGCACAAGATTCGAGGAGATCAACAAAAATATGACAGTTTTTCCTCGTTTAGTTCCTTATTCCAGCCCGGTATAAAAGGTCCCAGACTGATTTTTTTGTGTAAGGTCCCATACTGGAAATAACACCAGAAATAAAAGTCAGTGTGGAGCGGTGTGCGCGTCTCTCTGACAAATTTCTGCGCACCGGTGTCCTTTAATAAAAAATAAAAAGAAAAAAGAAAAAGAAAAAGCGGAAAGAAAAATAAACTGTTTCAGCAGGCTTGAAAACCAAAAGTCCAAGGGCTTATATATGGAAGTCCATAAACACGAATCTCCAACAAGAGCGTCAGTGAACCAGGAGCGGTGCGGCGTGCACTCCCCGGTGCTCCACAACCACGGAGCGGCTTGACAGCATCCTTCACCGCGCGGCCGCTCATGCGCTCGGTGGAGAAGCCTCCGCGCTTTAAGTCCCCGGTCGGTGCGCTCCGATCGGCTGTAAACGCGCGCGTCCCTCGGTTCAGCCAGTACGGTCTGCTGGGCTCTCTGCCTGTGCTCTGTTGTGCTGAGGTCTGGTCTGGTCTGGTCTGAGCGCGCTCCGGAGCGATTCACAGATCCACTCACTCACGTACTCCGTTCCGCCGCTTGGCGCTGTGTGAGATCAACGCGTCCAGAGGAGCCAGCAACAAGTTTTGCATTTCTGCAGCCACTTCCATCCACGAGGTCTCAGCCAATCACAGAGACCAAACGGAGCTCCGGGGGCGGGACGAACGTCGTTAAGGTGGTCTTGTGGAGTCAATGAGATTTTTTTTTTTTTTTTTTTTTAGTTTTAAGCTTTAAGTTTTCCCTCGAAAAGTAATAATCTAAGCGAAGTTTGAGATTTGAGTTCGATAGAATCTCTCACGTTTCTAAGGGATATTTTGTTGTTTTTTTTTAAAGCTACCACATATTTGAAGAGAACGTGGAAAAAAATATCTGACTCACGTCCCTTAACATGAAAACAGTGACTACACAAGTGGTTGTTTATGATGATATAAAAATATATAGATAATCGAAAATCCTATAAAGACCTGGATATGCAACATTCAATTAAAGATTGATATATTTTCCACAAATGAAGAGATCAATATGGGTGGTATGGCATACCATCCAGGGTGCCAGGAAGCAATGGGCAGCATGAGCAAGTCAGAAAAAAAGGCATTTTTTAAGTTGTATCTCAGGTGAGTTTCATTTTGCTTTTCATGTTCAGTCAATGGGGAATGGGTAAACCCTTGTGTTTTGCACAGGGTTTATTTGGTGTAACATGTTATCTTACCACCAAGGCAAGCGGCTTATTGATTTAAACGGAATTTATCAAAAAATGGAAGAAATGTCTTTGTCTGAAAATAGAAATCTATTCAGCGCTGACTGTTGATGTTGTAGGGAAACGTTTTAAACAGAAAACCACATGCTCTGTGAAACATGGTCTCAGTGGAGTGTGGGGGAAAAAATCCACCTTTAACAACATTCTAAGTAAATTATGTGAATGATATTGGGCCTCAGTTTCAATAATCAACACGCTATCTTTAAAAAAGCACGTTTTGATAAGTTATTTGAGAGGTTATTCAAGAGGTTAATTAGCGGCAGTTGCACAATTGCTGGGTTATCTGAGGTCAAGTGCTGCCAAATCCCAAGATAAGATGTAATATTTGTTAAAAGCGAGGAAGACAATGGAACCACTACTGCAAAGTCAGCACTTGTCTCAAAAATATATCCAACTCACACGTCACAAATAGTCTAACTTTCAGTTTGGTGCTATTCTAGTGTGAATTAAATATTATTTTTTGCATTGCACTGAGCTGGCAAATTCATCAGTGATTAATCTCGCGATCTTTATGTTATTTTAAATTCTGACCCCTTGGAAACTAAACTTGCTTATTGTTTTTAAAAAGCTGTGTACGTAGGCTTATTTCTGTGTAAACTCTGATTAGCTGAAATAAAGGGAAAGCCTACTTGTGTAAACAGGCCAATTTCATTGATCTCCTTGATTATTTTCTTTGGTGAAAGGAGAACACCACACAATCCTCTCCCGACTCTGTGAGTGGGGCGGCGGGTGGGGTGTAATTTGGTGGCAGTCAGCTCTGAGCCTTTACTGGGGAAGGGAGGAGGGGAAGAAAAAGAAAAGAAAAAAAGAGAGAGAGAGAGGGAGAGAGAGAGAGAGAGATATCAAGGAAGCTTTTATGAAACAGACACAGTGCCACCTAGCGGCAAGTTACACAGAGGATGCAGGTTCATTGACTTAAAATGAAGCATTTGGGAAATAACTTCTGGTAACAGAAGGCATAAAATGGAAATTAATCAAACAGGATGGACTTTTTTAAAAAAAAATTGTAAAATCATTCTATTCTATTCTATTCAAATACAAAGTAAGTGACACTCAGAGGAATGATAATGATGTTCCTGTGTTAAGAGTCTTAATATCACATAAGAAATCGTCCTACTTTTAGGTCGAAGTACATTATAATAATACTGTTGAAGACGATGGTTTATGTGATTACTAAGTAACATTTTAGATATGGCAAAATAAAAATATTCATCTAAAAACATGCTTCTTTACGCCACTTTACACAATCAAAAATCAGAAAAGACGACAAGCTTTACTTGCAAATCGAAATTCATAACATTCATGACACACAAAAGTCAGCACCACAAAACAATCGGTGTGCAGATGCATGCAGTTATGTCCAGCTCTGTGCCCAGAAAACAGGCTGCCGCCGAGCCAGAAACCCGTCAGGACTAGACAATGAAATGCACTTCTTCCAGGCGAGAGGACAGAAGCTCGGAGTGAGGAGGCAGGGGCAGAGAGTGCTTGTGTTTTGTAAGAGACGTGGAGTAAACTAGCCAGAAAGAGACGGTGGAGGAGGATGGGAGAAGAATGTCAAGTTGTTGGGATGTGCTAAAGGCGATGGGATTTTTTCCAGTTTGAGTCACACTCTCTCCCTGAGTATCACCTTACTGATAGACTACCTTCACTTATGGCTGGACCAGTTCGGAGAACTTTATCCCCAAATAACTGAAACTATCATTTGAAAACAGCTTTTTTTTGTTGTTGTTTTTTTTTTTTTACCTCTTCTCAGGTTATCTTTATCTCATAATAAGATATTTTTATGATCTAAAACATTCACGTAACACACGGATAACTGAAAACACCCTATTGCATATTTGGGCATATGCACATTTGATGTCTACTTTAACAATTCTGAAAAAATTCAAATCATACAACTAAACTATAAAAAAAAAAATCAATGAAAATACATTTTATCAGGTGAGGAATACATCTGTGTAACCCAGCTCTGATTTCCACATAGAATAACTAAAATCCTATGCACATACTCCTGTTCTCTCTGGATAAAGGCTCTCTTTGTCACAAAATATATTCTGTATTCATTCTGTTTCTATTCAACAGGAGAAAAAATAATAAAGCTGTCTTTCCTGTTGACTGTAAAACTGATAACTCCACAACGAGGTTCCTACTGGCTCCGTCAGCAGCGTCTTTTCAAACCCGGAGACGCCATGATGACAGACCGACGGCACGGTGTCCAGTCCTCCGTTGCCTCCGGTGATGACAAACGCAGCCCAGAGTGGTTGTAGCCGAGGCGACTTCATGACAATGGACGGTCTACAGGCTTTCAAGCGCTGTCACATTCCCACTCCTCTCTGCTTTGATTTAGAGCTCAATTTGTCTCAATATTTTACTCAATAGGACAAGGTAGCAGAAGTGGGCGCCCTCTTTTTAGCCTTAATTCATGGTGTTAAGCTTTTCCTCAGCGAGACATTTATTACCCCGGGTGGGAGGTTGGTGGGTGGAGGGGGCAGGTAGGGGTGAGGGGGCTGAACGAAGAGACAGTTCCTTCCCTTGTTGGTGGGGCTGCAGCGTCCTGTGCAGCTCAGGCAGAGAGGAGCGGGCTCGCTGTGTCCTCTATAGGCCTGTCAGTCAGCTGAGCCATCAGGACTCCCTGGGTCATGGCAGGTTAAGCAGCATCTGTCATCTAGAGAAGCAGCATTGTATTTAAGGGAGGGGGATGGGACAGACCCCCCCCCCCCATCACACACACACACAATCCCGCTCCCCTCCCTGCACCAAACTCACATCACAACAGGAAAGGCTGAGGAGAATCTCAGGAGCTAAATGTGACCCATGCCAGGAGGATGTGGAAACGTTGGTGACATCACTGCCTGCCTCCAAGAGACAGAAATAAACCGTCCTGTCCAAGAAAACCTGTGGCCCCTCCGCGCATCTGGCCCCCTGAGGGGGGGACCACACACACACACACA